AATTTAAAAAATTTATCTCAAAATAGTATGACATAGAAACAATGGAAGTAATTTCAAAGTTCCACTGCAAAAAAGTAAAATGGAAGTAATTTCAAAGTTCCAACTGCAAAAGACCTCATTCTGTCACATCAATGAAATTTCAGTCTGGAAGATCCAGGATTAGAAGAGAATGGTTTTATGGTAGGAAAAATCATTATCAGACCACTAAACAGAGGAGAAGTGAGCAGCAGCAGAAGAGAGGACTGTAGAAAAAGTTGCAAGATTTCATCCCAATTTCAAGCAAGGGCCTAAATGCTTAGCTCTCTAATGAACTTCTGGATTTTAATGGTTTGACCATAATTTTTTTTCATCCTAAAAAACATACACAAAATGTTATAAGCTAAGACAATGGAACTAAAAAAAAAATACTGTTCATTGCAGTCTGGGTCAGTGATGTTCCATTAAGAAGGAAATGGTTTAAGGTAATTTGTGAGCTTTAAAGAATTAATTTATCACTTTAGATTTTTTTTTTAAAAAAAGGAATCAAACTCATTATTTGACATAAAAGAATCAATTTTTCATTTTAGTTAAAGAAAAAAATAATTAAACTCATTATTTGATGTTGGGTAGGCCAAATTAGCAAAACATTGAATAATTTTTAAAAAGTTCTACTGGCCTAATTGGGGGTTACATGACTATAACCTAGTAGAGGAAAAAGCATTTGCAGACATCAATGAATGTACATTGAGACTGGTTGATTATGAATAATGGCCATTTCCAGGTTCCCAAAGTAATCATCTTTAACTAAGGAAGATTTTAGTATCCTTAAAAACAAAACAACAACAACAAAAAAACTCAGGTGTGGGATATAGTTCAGTAGTTAAGTGCTTGCCTCTCATGTGTAAGGCCCTGGGTTCAATCCCCAGCATGGATGTAACTCAGCAGCTCTTCTACAGTTCATTTGGAAGACTTCATGGCATTTTTGCTAGCCTGTGGGAAGACAGGCAGTTTGGATTGTTGAGTTTCAATCTTCTCCTTTTCTTCCAGGTCTTATCATACTCCCTTTACAGTCAGTCCTTTATCTCCTTTTCCATTTTGGAGAGAAAAAAAAAAAAAAGAAAGAAAGAAAAACCAAAAAACAAACACAAAACCCCAACTACAGAGCCAATCCATTGGGCTGGGCTAATCTCTCATCTTTGACCTTTATTCCAATGGAAGTAAATTTTAGCTGAACTCCTAACTTCTCTTGAGAAAAAATAACTAGTTTTTAAAACCAGCTACTAGGAATTAAAGCATTACTCAATCTCTGTGAATGGTTAGCTGGTAGAAGATTTGTATAATAGGGAGAAATGTTAGATTCTGTCACTAGACTGCAGTAGTTGCTTGTACGCCAGCCAGGAACTCAAACACAACTGCTTCCTCTCAGATAAAATATACCAAGAACTACTTTTCACTGGCATTGTGGGGAGAGAGGCATTATTTAAAATGGGGATCACATATAACTTTGGGAAACAATGGCATTATGTGGGTAAGCAGAAATTGGTAGAATATTTATGGTTTTGATAACAAAATTAGTTTGATGGTATAGAATGACTATATCATAATGGAGCATCAAAATTATCTGGTACATATATCCCTGGATAAATCATATTTGGAACACTATCTGATGTGTAATAAAACAAAACTCTTATAATGTTTAATTATTCCAGTTTTGTCTAGAATCTCTTTTTCATTCTTGGGTATAGAAAGCTTGTTCCCTAGTTGTATTTTCAGAATTCCCTTTAATAATAATAAAAAGGAGCTTGGTCATTGATTTTTTTTCTTGATTTAAACTTCAAAAGGACACTAGATTTTACTGTTTTTTTTTTTTACCCTCTAATTTTCAAACTACATGTAGGAAAGTAATAACTGAATTATGTACAAAACACAAGTAAAATTCTACAGAGAAGCAGTTTTCCTTAAGAGTCTTAAATTGAATTAAAATTGTTGCCTATTCTGTTGGATACTGATATGGCCTCATAATTGACATAGTATCCCTAAACCAATTTTGATTTTCCACATTGATTCAAATATTCATTCACTTAGTTGAAAAGTCCATGTCTGCTCAAAAACCATTTAAAGTTCAGGCTTATTTCTCTTAAAACTAATTTCTAGTCATTTAAAAAGTTTTCCCATTAATAATTAAAAAAACAGAAAAGTTGAAATCATTGTCTGAAGAATTTCTTATTCTCAACTGTATTCAGAACAAAACAAAGTAATATAACCTGGAATGATAAAAGCAAATAGTAATTCAATAAAATCTAAGTGTCTTAGTTTGGGCTCTTTGGGTTGCAAGTAAAAGAAACTTAAATACAAATGGGAACTAATTAAAGTAACTGAGTTAACCTTAATGTGAAACCTATGGATAAGAAAGGAAGCCAAGTGACTGAAAATCCATTTAGATTTAAATCTTTGCCTCTCTACCCATCTTCATCATTTTTCTCTTCCTTTACAGACAAGCAAAGAATGTCTCCCATGAAATGACTTCTAGAAATTGACCAGCATCTCTGTCCAAAGAGAGAATCTAATTGTCTCAGCTTGGATCATGTGACTATTTCTGGCCAGAGGGCAGAGTCTCCCAGTCTGGCTGCCAGTGTCCATTCCAGTGAAATGAGACATTCCCTGAACTGGGATGAAAAGACATCAGAAAATACCTACTACAATATGACTTTTACTAACGTATTCTCCTAGACCTTCTTCCATGAAACAAGTATTTATCTATCTCAAAAGTAAATATGGTTAGTTCCTGGTACATCTGTCCAATTTGCTTCATATTTTATGCTCCAGCCACAAAGAATTGCCTGTAATTCCACCTCCCATCCTCTATTTACCACCCTATCCACCCCCACAATCAACTCATTTCATGCCTAAATTCCTGTGGTCTTCTGTGCTTGTAATGGTCCTCTTCCAATCTTCTTTACTACTTAGGAGCCATTCTCTATATGTCATTGCTTCCAGGAGACCATCCTACGCTAGTCTCTTCTTTCTTTCATGCATCATAATGTCATACACAGAATTCTGTATCTCCAGAGTTTGTGATTTACTCTCTAGTTCTTGACATCTTTATAATCTCAGGCATGTGAGCCTGGACTACTGGTGAGAGCTCTCATACAGTCGAACAAATACACTCTAAAATAATTTCCTTTTAGCTAATAATTTACCCTGTAAACTTCAAAGAGGGGCTGCATCTGTAGCTCAAGTGATAGAGTACTTGCCTAGCAAGCCCAGGCCCTGGCTTTAATACCCAACACAGCAAATAATAATAATAAAGTTAAAGGAGTGTCATAACCTGAAATGTATGGTCCGCCCAAAGCCCTTAGAAATGTTAACTTGAGAAAGTTCTAACAGTATTAGGAAATTTTGATCAAACCCTTTCTTCCTTTGGCTGTCAGCTGGCCCTTGAGAAAGACCTGATGTCCTGATCAGTTTATTCTCCTTTTAAAACTTCTGCTGGGCTTGTCCTTCCCTCCTTTTAGATGCGATTTTAATCTAGCAAAGTAGTGGTGAGGGCATCAATTTATTAAACTTTTATTTTTCTGCATATGAATATTATTTTTCAAAGGCAATTTCATCCTGCAGCTCTGTAGACTTTCAATAACTTTAAACTACAAGGTTAGGCGTTTCTTATATATTTGCCTTAATTTTCAGTCCTCATTTTTTCCCTTAGGGTTTTCTGTTTGTCTGTTTTGTTTTGTGTTTGGTGGTGGGGAATGGAATCCAGGGCTTCACACATGCTAGGCAAGCACTCTATCACTGAGCTACGCCCCCAGCCCTTTTTACTCAGGTTCAATTCTCCACTCTCCTCCTAAATGAAATGGGCTTCTCTTTCTGTTTTTCCCTCCCTTTACACATATCAGGTAAGAAAACGGTGGGTGATCTTAAAAGGGGATTTTGTAAATGGTTGACTTTTGTTAGTCTCAGATTTTAAGGGGAGAAGAGAAAAGAGCATTTCCTCTAATAATAAGAGTTTTAAGTTTAATTTCTCTTCTAAATAAATAAGCAACAGCAAAAGGCCCCAGACCGCCTTGGATACCTTGGGGTCGGCGGCCCAGTGAGCCCAAATAAAATGAATTAGTATCCCAGGAAGGAGATCACTGTGGAGCTGATATTGATCAGGGTCAGCCGGTGTGTTTGCCTGCGATTGTTTGGGGGGTGGTTAATTGAGTGTCAGTCTCGGCCAGTGTCGTCTCGCTGGCGCCGGTTGCTTTTGGATTTGCTAATTTTCGTTAAGTGTCTTTAGCCGGCTCCTCGTCCCCAGTCTACCCGGGAGAACCTAGCGGCTCCAACTGATCAACAGTCTGTCTGTCTGGGCTTTATTGATCACACAGGGCGGGCGACTGGAGGCGGATGTGCAGAGGGGGAGGGCGGGGGGAGGTTGAAAGCAGACCCCAGCACCCCGCCGCCTGCTTCCAGGCTCCCCACCGGACTCCCGCTCGGCCGCACGCGAGCGGGCGGGACGCTCCTAGTCCGGTGGCAAGTCTGCCACGCCCGGGCATCGCCACTTGTCCCTGGAGCTCCGGAGACACACAGCATGGCCCAGGATGGGGATGGGGGTAGGGGGAGTTAGTCCGAGGGTGGCCACGTGGGTCCCTTACTTTTTTCGGTTGGAACAAAAGAGAAACCACGTGTTGGGGCACGCTGCCCCGAGGCTGTTGTAAGGATCCCGGAGGCTAAAGACCGGCGGACCCAGTAGCTGGGCTCACCCAGCGCTGGCCAAGGTCACACACGCTCAGGCCTCCGCCAGGGGGCGCGCGAGAGACGGCGACTGCCGGACCCTCAGCCCCAGACACCGGCGCCGCTAGGAGCCTTAGGGCAGGTCCCCCCTCGCCCGCGTCTGGTCCACCCTCTCGGCTTCCCGAGGGATCCACCAGACCCCAGCGGCCAATCGGACGGCGCCGTCGCTGCCGGGGCGGGGCTTGGGGCGGGGCGGCGCCAGGCCGGCTCCCCGAGCCCGGCGCTATTTACGGTGCGGAGCCTGGCTGGCCCGGCCGGTGTGGCGGGAGCTCTCTGCTGGTCCCCTCCGTGGGCTATTTCGGAGCTCCCACCTTCTTCACGGAGCAGCGGGTCAAGGGGGCACGAAGCCGGGAAGACCACGCTGGACTGCAGCGGCGCCATCAGTGAAAGTGCGTCCGCCGAGCAGACTGGGGCGTAGGAGTGACGGGCACCGAGTCACAGCGCAAAACTTTTCTCGACTTCTAGGCGCGTCCTGCAGCCACGATCCATGCTGCCGCCGCCATCCGGACCCTGGCCCCGCCACTGACGGCGTCTGGCGCGCGGGGAGGACCCATGCACTGCTCGTTCCGGGGGTCGTAGGCTGCTGCTGCGCCGCGGCTCCGGGAGCTGCGGGGGCGCCGCGGCCGAGGGAGACGTCAATGGATCGCCACTCCAGCTACATCTTCATCTGGCTGCAGCTCGAACTCTGCGCCATGGCGGTGCTGCTCACCAAAGGTGTGTGCCCGCCGGGCGGCCGTGGTCTGGCGCGCGGATCCTGGGGAGGGGCCCTGCGGACGCGCGGGAGCTGGGGACCGGGCTGCCGGGCTGCAGCCGCGGGGCTTTGAAGCCGGCTGCCAAGGCTTTGTTAGCGGCGGGCGAGTTCCCTCCCGCGCCGAGCCGCAGGTCGCGACAAGTTGCTGTGTTCTTAGAAGCTGTGGCGGTGGCCTCGCGGCCGCCCCCTCGACCCCGGGTCCGACGCCCTGAGGTGCAGTCAGGCCTCTCGGCGAGCTGGTCAGGTGTTGCGAAGCTTGTCGGTGAACTCCTGAACGCTGGCGGCCGCAGGGGACGGGGGCGGGAGGATCTGCTGCTCGCCGCCGCCCTCGTTGCCCCGCGCAGCGCGGGACTGACCCAAGGAAAAGCAGACCCTAGCCCTAGCTGCACTATGCCTGTGTTTCTCAGTGTCTGTCTCTGAGCGTTTCTGCCCTTGTCTCTATATGTGTCTTTGCGTATCGAGTATGTTCTAAGAGCGACTGTGTGGCTTTGCGTGTTTCTGAATGTGTCCGGGTGTCTCTTAATGTCCCCGTGTCGCTGAGTGTATCTCTGTGTCTGAGTGCATCTGTGTGTCTTTGTTTCTGAATGTGTGCATCTGCCTGTCTCTTGATGTCTCTGTCTTGGAGTGCGAACGGGTTGGTTTTTCTGAGTACCTAAGTTTCTGTGTCTTTGGGATCCAGCGTGTGTGGATCTCCCTGAGAGTGTAGGTGGGGTGTGTGTCTTGATGAGCGAGAGAAGGTGTGTTGCGTTGCTCCTTAGTGCCGGAGAGGAGTAGATGCTGTCAGCGGTCCCATTTCCCACTCACCTTCTATTTTGCAAACACTATTTTAAAAAGACAGCAACTTCTTAGCCCTGCAGGCTTTCATCTTTTAGTTCCAAACGACCTTTCTAGATTTCAAGGTTCTTACCTCCCTGCCATGGACTTTAACTACTGTTCTATGAACAGATTTTTTTTTTTTTAAATAGGAAGCATTATTTAGCCTTTGCACCCCCCCATTTTTCCTTAATTGCCATGTAGCAGGCATGAGGTTAAAGGATAAGCTGGCCCAGCAAGGATGATGTGCTACAGTATTTATTTATTTTGGAAGGAAGGGTGTAATTAACCCTAAATAACAGCCCTCTGCAGCTTGCAGAGGGGAGCCTCCTGGCCCTATCAAAGGCCGGCAGAACAGGGAGGGACTGAGGCTGACATGAAGTCACAGATACCGAAACTATGCGCCTGATAATGATATAATTAGGGGATCAGAGATTTCTGACTGCTGTGGACTTCAAAAGCTTTAAAAGAAGCCAGCAGTCTCTCCTGTAGCCATCTTGACTAAAGCAGACATTTTTGTTTAATCACTACATACAGTAACTAGAAAAGGGGAAACAGAAGAGCATTGTTCACTGTTTCAAAATACCAGTCCCCTCCTGGCCTTTTGCATGCCACAGGAAGAAACTTTATGAAACGACAGAAATATAGTTTTAATACAGTAGTACAAAAGTCCATTCTCTTCGCCAAAATGTGGCTTTTTTTGTGTGTGTGTGTGTTAATGTCTTAGAACTTTCCCAGTTACCTGTCAATTTTTTATTAGACGGTTTTAGGTCATTGAAAATACAGTATTTTAAATAGACTCTCATAAACATTGAAGCAATATTTTACTTGTATTCAGTTTTCCTATTCTGCACCAGGTCTGAGCCTGACAGGCTCAAAATGAACATTACATCCGTCTTATTTATACTTCAAATTTGTATGTGAAATTTATCAATCTAGGGAAATTTATCAATCTAGTCATCACCACCTTAGACTGGTTGAGCTTTATGTGAAGAATAAAGCAATTCCGGAAAGAGTAGAAAAGGACTGTTGCAGAGCAAGGTCCTTACTTGAAGCAAAGGAGACTGGAGAAGGAGACTTGGGCCCAAACCCAGGATGGCTAGTGCAGAGTTAGGAGCAAGACCCCAGTTTTGTGCTGTTAGTAGGTTGCCAAAGATCTGTGTTTAGTTGGATGTTTTTTCTTTGAGCTGAAGCATTAGCAGCCTCTAGTGAAAACTGAGCACACCATGTGGTGGCCTGGAATTTGGGCAGATAATTATATGAGACACCTTACTCAGGCATTCACAGAAAAAGGAGGAGGAAGAAGAAAAATGAGTGGGGGAAGTCTGTAAACCTGCAGCCCCCAGCATTTAATTCCAGAGTGAAGGTTTCAGTAACTAAACAAATCTTCTGATTGGGAAACTGGGAAGAGGTGTGTGCATTAGTTCAGTTTAGCGTAGCCTTCACTGTGGCCTGTTAACAATGACCAGAGTCCACCAGGTTGAGTATCATAGTGACAATTTCAGACCCAGAGTATTTCAACTAGACATCCACATTCAAACCTCAAATCTTGCATTGTTACCAAATGTTAACAGAGCCTTGCAACTCACAAAATAAGTTTTATAAAGGAAACTTTTAATCACTTCCTGTAGAAAAATTTGAGGTTTCCTTAGGATTTTTCATTCAACCAGCAGAGGATTTTCAGTTTCAGTGTTTCCCCTTTTAGATCACATGTTAAATTACATGTAAAACTGAGGAGGAGGAGAAGTCAGCCTTTGCAGTTTTATGTCCCCCCACCCCCACCCCTTTTATGACTTTCCATTTGGGCTGAAAGAAATTGACTTTGGCAAGCAAACCACTAATTGTAAACTGCCTAGTTCCTGTTTTACAATATACTGACTAAAAGCTCCTCCGCATGAAAAGATCTTTATAGGCAAAGTTTGCCTTTTCTAGAGAGGTTGCAAATAGCTGCCCAGTTTCATAGTTTTAAAACCTCCTGACCTGGGCAATTTCTAGATTGTTGTGTTTCTAGTTAATAACTTTATAAGGTGTTAGCTCCAGCTCTTAAATCTTGGCACAGTCCTTTGGGATAGTAAACAATTCAGTAGTTCCTCCAATCAAATATTTATACTGACAAAACTCAAAGCTTAGCGTTTTTATCATGTATGATTGTGTTAGGAGTATAATCAATGTGATTTACCTTATGGTAGAAAAAAATATAATGATGACTTTTCCTTCAGAAACAAAAGTAGTTTTAATTACTCCTAACTCATCAGAAATCTGCTACTAGGATTAATACATTCCTAAAATTGTAACTAATTGACATTTAAGCACTTATGCTTAAAGGTGTTTCCAGTCCCAGTGAGGACGTGAACTGCTATTGAAAGCAATCAATTTGAATGATCTAAAATTAGTGTCCTTGAACTTGGTATTCAGCAATTGCTTGCATAGTTGCTTTATCTATTCCCTGAATTGAAGTTTGACTGGTTTCTCATTGTTTTCAGGAGAAATTCGATGCTACTGTGATGCTGCCCACTGTGTGGCAACTGGTTATATGTGTAAATCTGAGCTCAGCGCCTGCTTCTCTAGACTTCTGGATCCTCAGAACACAAATTCCCCACTCACCCATGGCTGCCTGGACTCTCTTGCAAGCACAGCAGACATCTGCCAAGCCAAACAGGCCCAAAACCACTCTGGCACCACCATGCCCACATTGGAATGTTGTCATGAAGACATGTGCAATTACAGAGGGCTGCACGATGTTCTCTCTCCTCCCAAGGGTGAATCCTCAGGTAGGTAGAAGCCGTTCCTAACCCAGGTGCCTGCCTGATCTATAGACCTGTGCCTGATCTATAGACCGTGTGGCAGCCACGACTTTGTGTGTCTGCTATTGATTTTGTTGTTAATGTAATTAGAGATACCAGAGGGAGAAGCATGGCTGCATGCAAAGATGAGTGGCTTTGGTCTGCCTGAGCATTATATGTCTGTCTATATAATAGGTTTTGCCTGTTTTTAAACATTTTGAAGACATCAAAAGACCATTACATTTCAGTGATGACAGCCAAGCTTCTTTGGATAGTTTTGCGATATTTATTTCTAAAAAACTGTTGAAATAATTGTAAGCTACTTTTTAATGGGATTCCTTGTTTATAAAGTGGATATCTCTAAGAGGAGTTATTCCACAGTCTGATCATTTTATTTGTACTCCTTTAGGACAAGGAAACAGATATCAGCATGATGGTAGCAGAAACCTCATCACCAAGGTGCAGGAGCTGACCTCCTCCAAAGAATTGTGGTTTCGGGCAGCAGTGATAGCAGTTCCCATTGCTGGTGGGCTGATCTTAGTGTTGCTGATTATGTTGGCCTTAAGGATGCTCCGAAGTGAGAACAAGAGACTGCAGGATCAGCGGCAGCAGATGCTCTCTCGTTTGCACTACAGCTTTCACGGACACCATTCCAAAAAGGGCCAGGTTGCAAAGTTAGACTTGGAATGCATGGTGCCTGTCAGCGGGCACGAGAACTGCTGTCTGACCTGTGATAAAATGAGACAAGCAGACCTCAGCAACGATAAAATCCTCTCCCTCGTTCACTGGGGCATGTACAGTGGTCATGGGAAGCTGGAATTTGTATGACAGGGTCTTATCTGAACTAAACTTCTTGAACCCTTGAAGGTCTTCGAGTTCTGCTGGACAGGAGCACTTTATCTGGAGACAAACAAAGTCATTGAATCATTTTTGATAGACAAAATGACCTCTGCAAACAGAATCTTGGATATTTCTTCTGAAGGATTATTTGCACAGACTTGAATACAGTCAAATGTATTATTTGCTTTAAAATTATAAGAAGCAAAGAGAAGACTATGTACACACTGTTACCAGGGTTATTTGCATCCAAGGGAGCTAGAATTGAGTACCTAAATAAACTAAATGTGCTCTATGTAAGCTCCTACATCTTGATTTATTGTAAAGATTTTTAAAATATATATATTTTTTGTCTGAAATTTAGTGGTGTCTTTCATAAATTAAAAAGTTAAAGTGGTGGGGCTAGGGATGTTGCTCAGTGGTAGAGTGCTTGCTTAGCATGTGTGAGGCCCTGGGTTCGATGCCCAGCACCACAAAAAAGAAAAATAACTTAAACTGTAAGAGTACCTGTTAATTACACAAATGAAGAGCTATTGTTGCTCGTACTTTATTTTCAACTACAGAATTTGGCTGGATTTTCTTTTTGTTTTAATAATGAGACCAAGATCTTGTTTATTCTCAAACAAACATGCAATTTTCTTATAGCATGGAGTTTCTTAAGTGTATATTGATCATCATTCAGTATCTTACCTACTTTTCTTTCAAAGGATAATTCTGGTAAGATTTTTTTTTTTCCTTTTTACTTAGTCCTTGGTACTAAGGACTAAGTCCAGGGCCTTGTGCATACTGAGCATACACTCTACCTCTGAGCTACACCCCCATCCATCCCTAAGAGAATTCTTAAAACTTATTTATACCAGGTCAGATGATTGATGCTTTTTTGAAGTTGCCATAGCAAAGGTAATATTTATCAGCTTGATCCAGTTCTGGGATACCTTTATAAATGTGTCCACCTATACCCTAACTAAACATATTTTTTGGTAATTAAAGTTAACCACTGTCTAGTTTTACAACGGATTGACTATTCTGCCTCAAACCAAATTAAATAACTAAATATTTTGTCTCCCAAGTTAGCCAGACTTTATTGTACAGTGCTCCTGGTTTTCAAATTTTCTTCAGTAGTTCAGTTAATTTTTTTTAACTTATTTTAATCCTTAGAAAGGTTTTCAATAGTAAACATATGCCAATTGAGAATTAACACAGTGCTATTAGATTTCTAAACCCTCAATAATCCTTTTAATATAATCAAATAAAACATAGGCATTAGCCTGTAATTGATGCAGCTAAGTAACCCTTGCCACCTCCTATAAGACATTTGGTAACACAGCCCAGCCTGAATTTAAAACTATACCATATTTGTGTACTCTTCCCTCAAATGGATCTTGGTTATCTCAAAAATGAGAATAATATGCCATGGAGGTTTTTTTTCCTCAATTCTTTTGTATATTTGAGATTTTTTTTGCTTCAAAATAGTTTAGCCTGCGTAATTTGAGAATGAGGTTTTCTTGTATTAATATTAAAAGCATTTTTGCATACTTTATTATTAGATTATTTTATGATAAGCTTAATTTGGGTTCCTTAAGACAGGTTCAGTAGTCAAGTTCATGGAAGAATCTGAATTGAAATGACTAGTATAAAAATGAGTAGATTATTTTGACAATTAATAGATCACTGCCCCAAACAAATTAGGCTATGGAATAAATACACATTTTAATAAATGACAGCATTTGTATTGTGCTTTTTGAGATTGATGCTTCTTACATGCCTATCTTGTTATTTATAAAAGGTGTTCTTCTATTTGTGTCAATTAATTTTTTTTTTTTTAATTTGGTGTTGGGAATTGAACCATGGCCTTGTACATGCTAAGCATGTGCTCTGCTGCCCAGCAGTTCTGCTACCTAGCTACACTCCCAGCTCCCATAAGTGTATCAGTTTTTTGAGGAAAAAAGGAATGATTGAACTCAGCCATTCAAACCTGACTACAGGAAAACTGATCAAAATTGTTGGTGAAATTTTACATCCTTATCTCTACTGTCTGGCTCTTGATCAAAGTACAGTAGTTTTGTTGCTTGAATATGGAGACTTCTTACCCCTCAAACATTCTTTTTTGTATAGCATCATTCATAGTCAGTAATGGTTTAGCCATTATCAGTTATGTGTAGTCAATTTTTCAAATTTTCTTCCTCTTGTTTCACCTGATTTCTTCCAAGTATCAGTTAACTAGGAACTCTGCAAGTTATTGGGAAATAAAGGACTTAAAGTTATGTGTTTTCAAATCTGTAAACCTCATCCTACTGGAAAGGCTTGAGTCCCTTAATGGAAGATAAATGTGAAGAGGTTCCCAATGCCTCTTGTTCTGTTGTGCACTCAGGAGGCTGTCCTTTGGTGGCCCCTGGCCTCTCAAGACTTTTTTCTGGGACTCAAGTTCTAGCCTCAATTGACCAGGCCTGTCTCTTCCAAAATCCTCACCCTTTTGATATTGACTATTTATATTTGTCTTTGCCACTAGCAGATCTGCACATAACTTGGGCTTTCAATAAAAATGCTGCAGGCTGAATTTTATTAAGAACTGTATAAAGACTTGACATTTTCTCTCCTATGAGAGTAAAGTTTTTACAAGCTGGAGATAGGGATTCCCTACGTGATTGATTTAAGAAAGGTGACAATTGAGGTCTTTTTTTACCCTCTCTAAAAGATGTATGCTGGCACTTAGAGGTGTCAATACAAGGCTTCCTAACCAAAAACAGCCCTTATTTAATACTGACATAGAACTTCCCCTCAAAATTAATTTTCCTTTTTAAATGGAAATTCACCCAAACCAAAGACAAATGGGATAAAACTGCCATGATGTTTCTGCATCTGTACCTCTAACATTCTGCCCCATTTTGGAAAACTTGACCTGTGCGTGGTTAATGTCTTGTGCTATTCCTCGCACTGCCCTCCCCCCCCCCCCCCCCCGCCCTCCACAGACTTAACTCTGAATGGCTCAGAGGCTTCCTAGAAATTGACTGGTGTCTCTAATTTCTGTTGAACTGATTTTATTAAAAACACTGCACCATAGGGGGATTGACCTTCTAAAATACCAAACATGTCCGCTTTAGAAAATCACAAAGCTCTCCTCTGAAGGGCTGATAAATCTGGTTTCAATATGGGTTGATTATAGGCTAAAAGCTTAAAAGCAGTGGCATCTAGTATCATGAGTCTAAAGCTGGCCTTTCTAGGGCCAGGACAGCTTTTTTTTTTCTTTATAACCTCTAATTGGTCCTCTTCTCTGCCACTTAGCTTAAATAACTTTGAAACCTCCAAAGCCATGTAAATTTAGGCAAATTATGTAAGCACTTTGAATGCTCAGTTTTGTTGCCTGTAAAATGGGGGCAATAATAAAACTGACAGGTTTACTGTGAAAACATTTTTGCTGGAGGACCTAGGTTCAATTTCTAGCACCAAACAAAGAAGAAAGAAGAAGAGTAAAAAGACTGTATTGTGGCTATTCTTGCTAGTATGCACTAGAATGTCAGATGAGCTCGAGATGCAGCTCAGGGCAGAGCACTTGCCTAGCATATGGGAGGCTCTGGTTTGATCCCCAGCATGGGGCTGGAGGTGGTAGTGAGGTGGGGGTAGACTACAGGAGGGTGTCTCTTTAAAAAGGAAAGTTTCAGAGGTGTACTTAATGGCCCAAAATAATAGTTCTTAAAGTTTGAGAACTTGTGCCCAACATTTATAGTCATTGTTTTTATGTGACTTTTTAATATTTCTTTTTTTGTGTGTGTGTGGTGCTGAGGACTGAACCCAGGACCTTAGCGCATCTGAGGCAAGAACTCTACCAACTGAGAAATACCCCCATCCCAACTTCTTAATATTTCAAATCTTTAGATATTTGAGCTTTCCAGGCTCTCAATCACTAGCAGACAGGTTTAGCCTTTTTAATGGTTTTCTTCAATTTACTGCCTTCATACATGCTTTTCTCCTATCCGCTGGCTTGTAACTGTTTCCCATTGGAATCTAGACAGCTCCCAGTGAGAATATTTTAATCTTCTATACATATTTGTGTTTTGGTATTTGACAGATGATGTTCTTTCAGTTTCAGCTGGGCTAGGAGAGCATCCATGGAGAGGATCAAGAGCCCATAGGTGACAGATGATGTTTCAATAGTGCCAGGATAGCTTGTGTCTGATGCATCCTGAACAAATTACACTATCACTTACAATGTGCCCCACTGGTGTTCCCAACAAAATACAAATCGTTCCACTGGTATTGGGAAACTTGTGATTTTTTTTTCTCCCCAGGGGCAAGTTAGTGAAGGATCATTTAATTTCTCTGGGTAGAGTTAATTTAGTTTGTTACCCTGTGGAAAATTTAACTGCTCCAGTACCAACTTGTCCTCTTTCCCTCTACTCAATCTATTCTGTCAATGCTGTTTTCAATCTGCTGACTTAAAAAGGCAGATTCTTGATCAGAGAATTCACGATCTCATGAAATAATGAAATTAAATCATCTTCCAAATTTGGATATCTCTTTCTTTGGGATGCAGTTTCCACTCTAAACATTCCCTTGTTAATCTGTGAGCATGGCTGTTCTGCAGCATGGTGGCTTGATTCACTTGTCTGTCATTCCAAAAATGTGGAGATAGAATTTGGAAAGGAGTAGAATAGAGTTGAACCAGATAGGGGTTTACCTCCTATAGCAAGGCAGTAAATTTTCAATGGATCTGCTTTTTAGAGTGGGAAAGTGTTTATTGCTATGCGGAGCCTATCAGCAAACAGAGGCAAACTTTTCCCATTGGAGGAATATGAAAAGGGTAACAGGAAAGGCATTGATAAGCAATCCTGGGAGATACTTTGCTAAGCAGTTAGATGCTATCACAAGGTATTTGTCATTCCTCCAGACTGTTAGGAGATTCATTCTATGGTAGCAAATGGCTAGATAGCCTCTAGGGGATATTTCAAATTGTGATTAGCTACCTGTGTCTTGTAGATTAGATTGTTGAACTAAATCTGAATAGAACTGAGGACAGATTGGCCTGGCAGATAACTGTGCCATCTATATATGTCATGCTAATTAAATAGGCTTTGTAATCCTGGAATAATTTTACATTTAACAATTTTCCAAGCAGTGTAGAAGTAACTGTTGGAACTTACGAGAAGTCAGCAATTTGTTTTTAGACATGTGAAGACTAAGTTATTTGTGTTGAATTAATAAACTCCAAGGCTGTCGTGTAAATTTACTCTGAAAGATCTCGCATTACAAACCTAATGGAACAAAAATTTCTTTTGCAGTTAAATGCATGAGAAATACAAAAAGCTCTTTATCCCTGGTCTCTTCCCCTTGGAATTTCCTTAGGGAATTGATGAGAACAGTG